TGATTATTGGCTATAGAGCCTCAATCCTTTAGTTTCTTATTTGTTTTCAATCAGTCGCAGATGATTGACATAATTGACATAAATATGGATTGTGCAAAATCTTTCACTTGCACAATCCGAATAATGTTCTCATTATCTTTTTCTGACTGGAAATTGCGATAATAAAATATTTTCAAATCGACTAATAATTAAAATCAAATATATTTTGGTCGTAACACTTACAAACTTTATTGTTACGAATTGTGTAAGGCGTTGTTAGTGGTTTCGCCAGCTCGGGCAGGAGTCCAGGGTTAAGTTGGGCGATGTTAGTTGGCTGGAACTCCTGCGGACGCGGTCGGGTTGTTAGACGGTTAGCCTCACGTCGCGGGTGTCTTCTGAAATGAACCAATCAAATTATAAATAATTCTGTTTCTTTCAAAACCCATCAAACCCAAACTTCCATAAACTGAATTTCAAATCATATCTTAAAAACAACACTGTTTGGCAGAGGAAATTTTTCCAAATAAAATAGCTCAATGGTAAATTCAGAAGAAGAATAAAAGAACTCACAGATTGTAAGGGCAGTTAGTGGTCGGGTGAGTTGTTATGTCAGTTGTCATTGTTGACCCTGGTGAGGAGGGTGAGGAGATGTCAGAGGCCCGGACGTGAGGTTGTTGCTGGTGAGTCGTTGTTAATTGGTGATGTCTGAAAATAAATACGATTGATACGACGACTTCGGCAAAAACGAATTTTATGCTGATCCTCGACTCGAATCATAAGTTATTACAACCAATCAAATGTTCGTTGCAACAGATATTTGTTGAAACATATTTTTAGAATATTTCGTGCTGCCTGACTATTATTCCAAATATTATCATCATTTTTATCGCACAGAATATTTTCAAACTGCGATCCTCAGAGATTTTTATAGAAAGAATACAAAAAACGTAAGATACAAGGATTTTTAATTATCCACTTACAGCGTATGTTACTATTGTCGGCACTGCGTTAGTTGGTTTCAGGTGCTTCATTAGTGGCACGTTAGATGGTCCAGGTCGGTTAGATGGCTGAAAATATTTGGAATTATCGCCAGTAATATGATCATAAATTTTGTTTCAATCAGTTGACTCATATGAAGTTTTGTGATTATGATTCAAAAGGTATTTCATAGATTATTACTGAAAAGTTTTTTTGATTTACTTACGTCAGTGAGGTCAGTCGTTATTTTTTGTCGTTTGGGCGACGGGTTAGTTGCGGTATTCTGAAAATGATTGCTACAATTATTATCACGAATCTTACGATTACTTTTAGTCTTACGATTAAAAATTGCTGTAACTGTCATTAGATTCATTTCGTATCGTCATTCTCATACTTGTTGTGACATTTGTCCTGATTCCTAAGCCTAAGAATATTCGTGAGCTATTCAAGAAGTGATATCTTGAATACTTACAGTTGAAGTTAGTAGCGCGGCATAAGCTCCGTTATATTGAGCCGCCTCAAATACTAGGCGGCTTTGTCCGTATATTTTAATGGGTGCACCCGTATTAAGTGGGTGCACCAGGAGCATTATGCCGCGCATCTGGCACAGCGCTTCCAGTAAGTCGTCGTCATCGCGGTCCAGAGTGGCGGCGTTAACTGAAATAATCAAAAATTATCCGATGAAGAGCAGCATCCAGGACAATGAGAAGATGGTCAATTGTTTCGCTCAATGTATGATTCCCAGGCGATTGCCAGACTACCGAAACTCAAATCGCAATCATTATTTGCTCAAATGGTCATCTGTGTTGAGAATGCATCTTAAAAAATTTTAAAGTGTTATTCAGGTCATCTTATGAGCAAGAATGATAAAAGGATCAAGACAGTGATAATAATTGAAGACTTACACATTTGCGTTAGTCGTGGATGGCCCATATGGGCCCATTGGTCCTTTAGATATTGGTATAACCGGCTCGGTGCCGGTATGACCATGAATACCGCCAGCACCTGCAGTAGGCTGGCGCAAAACATACCCTCAGCCCCTCTAGCCTGCAAAAACCCCCCGAAGGGTGCTAGTCTCGGGTCGATCTCGGCCTCTTGTTTTCTTTTTAAACCACGGCCTTGCATTTTTAAATTTTTTAAATTTTTTTTTCAATAAAAAAATTCACTCAGCACTCAATTTAAAAAACACACACTCTCACAATAACACTAATATAAAAACACACTAATCAAAATCACACAACACACTAATCACAAAAACTCACTCAAAATTAACTCAAAAACACACACACTCACACAATACCTCACCACTCAAACTCAATTTCACCACACACTCTCAATTTAAAAAAAAGTTGCGGTTCTCCTTGTTGCGTTCGACAGGCCTCGCGTCGATATTCTCACTCTGAAATTGAAGAAATCAACGTAATAATCAGAAATAGACGAGTGGATGAATATTGTCATGAAATTGATTATTCATTCAATAAAAGATTCCACAAAGTATTTTTCAGAGATATCAAAAAGGAGAATAAGACCTCAAAGACGATTTCTAGTTGCAGATCATGCGGATATTTACTATTAGGTAACTGAGGCATACAAGACGAGTTATTTGGAGATAACCTCTGAATTATCGCGCATCATATTCTAATCATTTTTTCATCTTCTAATACAAATCACATTTGTGAAGCAGCGCATTATTCATTATATATGTTTAGCAAATGTCTTAGACGGTGCGCAGTATTATTATCTAGATGCCAATGCCTTCTAAAGGCAATATTCTGATCAATTTGTTGATGGTGAAAACTGATGTGTTCGTGAGTCCTTCACAGAGATTCTCGTATGCATTTCATCAGACTTCTTCTATATGTGCTGTTTTTGTCAAGCAAAACCTGCTTTACAAACCAATCTCAAACATATTCACAATGCGATCAATGTCAAATTCAAGTTTTGAACAGTTCATTAATGAAACAAAAATTGACTTAGAATGGTACGCTGATTGCTTACGGACTCAAAAATCGC